AAAATGCGCTGCGCTACGTCATCGTTCGATGGCGCCATGAAATCGTTTTGTGACGACAGCAATACCTGGTAGCCCCTGGCAGCCAGACCTAAAGAATGCCTCGAAACGCACGAAAGCTGACGCCGGTCGGCCATTCTTATCGCAGGCGATACGTCAGGTGGCGGATTAGTGGATGGTTCGTTTGTGGATTTTTTGTCTTGATGCTGGCAGTAAGAAAAGCTTTGGTGTACTGTTTGACGTGCGCAACGTATCAATTGCCAGCTTTTAGGGCAGATTGTTAATATCGAAGCACGATATGCTGTGGTAACTATCATGTAGTGTCATGAATCTTACCGAAACGTTTCAAGAACTTTTAATGATGCCAGTACTATGTTGTCGACCTACCCTTGCCTGCATTGCTGTAGTCCTAACATTGATATTATGTGATGTGCACAGTAGTTACTGTCTGTATTATTTGTAACTGGGAATGCATTTACATGCTAAATTGATTGCCAAAGCATTGCCGTTGCCATGCTAAAGGTGGCAAGATTGAGCTACCAAGAATGTTTGTCTTGCTTAGGATTATTTGTGCAATCATAAGTTAGCCCTGATGTAACCATTGTGGTGCAACGGCATTCTCGCTGGTGCTTTTTTCAAACCCTTCGGCGTTTTTAAATCAGTTGTTGCCAGCCACTCATAAATTATAAGCTGTTTTCTCACAAGCTTGACAGAGAGTAGTCAACCAATGCGGTACACAGTGTAATAGCACGGGTAGTATCATGGTGGCACGGCCTCAGTGCTGTACTGTGGCATGGCATAATGAACAACGATACGATTTTTGTACTGCGATCCCTGCTGTTTTCATATTAAATTACATTATGAAAACATAGGTGAAGTGTGCGTTCTTGTGTTAACCCCGCATCTGACACATAACTGACCAAAAACAAAACGAAATCAATTTACAAGTCACTTTCAGCAAAGCACACAGCCAATAAGTGACATCACATGCTCAGCCTGGTTTGGAAATCTACAAAACGTAGGTGACAAAGATGCGAACACGTCTCCTGATTCCACGGCCATGCAACATGCTGCAGCCATCGGGCTACTTCACTCAAAAATATTGTTCACACAGGTGCTTTGGTGGTGCACAGGTGCTTCACACAGGTGCTCACACACATGCATAACAATAAAATATTACATGCAGTGAAACGACAATGCAAACCTGATGACCTTCAACAAGGCTGAAGACAAAACAAATGCATATAGTTATGGCTAGATGGGCAAAATACAAGGAAATGATGAAGCTGCCAGAGCACACAAGGCTCATGATAGAAATACTATGAAGTGCTATCCAAGAAACCGGCAGCAATACTTTTCCATCTTTCTCAGCACCTAGCATGTCACACGGGTTCCAGTGACTTTGACATTGATGACTCACAAGCAATGCTTGCCGGCAGACAAAATTTGTTAAGACAGAAGTATGTGCAACCACAATAATACAGCGCTTTGTTTTTAGAATTCTTAAGGGAAATATAGTTTTGAACAGCCGTATCATGCGAGCTTATACCAAGCGTGAGCATTAATGAGCCACGCAGACTTGCCCCTACTGTCAAAATGAATTGACAGTATAATGACACGCAATGGATTAATCACATGCTGCCATATCTCAATAGGTTCAAAATGTTGGCAGTATCATAATGAAGCAGCAAATTGCCACTGTACGCCTCTGCAGCATAGGTGCCAGTGTTCCTTTCACTTCACTGGCATCACTACTTTGTTATACTCAAATGCAAACATAAAGATGGAGGTAGGTATCGACATATCACATTTTATTGGGAGTCATTAGATTTAAAGAATATCAAAACAATGTTCTCTCAGAAGTACAAACCTCGCACGCACACTCCCCATCACATCAAGATCAATATAAGACCCTGGCACGCACCACCAGTGATCACAACTATTTCAAGCGCCCGGCTCACACTCTAATGTCAAATAAGTGTGTTCCATACTTGCACAGCCCGGGGGACTGTCAAACTGCAGATTTTCCACAATTTTCGCAAAGGTTTTCGGTTATAACACCGCATTTCACCGTTAGCTCCCAGCAAAACAAAATCCCATCAGGGGTTCATGGTACCGAAACTCAAGAGGTTGTAGTTGTAGGACATCATTTTTTGTTACAGATTTAAAGTTGTGATGCAACATGCGTTAAATTTTTAGGAAAATATACATCTAAATTTCTTGTAATATTTCGCTAGCCTTGCTAACCCATAAACCCGTGCAAGGTTCTTTGCCCCGGTGCACACGGCGCCAGCCGAGCTGTCTGTAAGACATACATCAAAAGAATGAATAAAAAAAACGCAAGCAGGAGAAAAAAGATTTGCCGTCGCGTCTTCTTTTTCAAAACATTCGGGAGAGTACCGTTCTTTTTTTCGGTGCCGTACTTTTTTGCAGACAGTGTGGCGTTTTTCGTATTTTATAGCATTGACTTGTGGCTTAGGAGTAAGGAAAAATGTGCCCCGTTGACGACGAGTGCCGCACAACCCGAAAGTGCTCACGCTTCCGTTCGCGACACGCATACATCAACGAAATTTAATTTACAGCCAATCGCCTTCCGAGGATTGTATCATACGTGCCACATCATCGCTTTTGCGAATGTATCGGCGGCGATGCTGTTCTGATCATAAACAGAAAACAGCCTGTAATATAACGGCGATCGTATGACGTTTCTATGACATCAATGCCAAGTTGGCTTTGAAGTAGTTTCGCAATGAGTGTTTTCCCACTTTTGCGGCCGTGTAACTCAAGAACCAGAGGTTTTTGGGTCTTTAAAAGGGCACTACCGTGAATTGCATCAAAAGGCCCTCAAGATGGTTATTTCAATTCAAAACCCCATATAAAGGTGGAATACTCCCTTCAAGATAAAAACCTCCAGTTTCTAAGCTGCGCGCCGCGAAGAGTGTCAGGATGTCAGTGCTACGACAAGAAAAAATATGATAGCAACAGGAGTGATATGTCATCAGTTATAAGCAGCATTACATCTACCGCAGAAAACGCAGAGCTTACGTATACACGACATCACTTCTCCTGCTACTTCTCCTATCGTGTATAAGCATTGACATTTGAAGTAACGTCGCGGCACTTCTGTCGGTTGGAGTTTTTGTTGTAGCACGAATGCCGTGGACCCCCGCGAAGACGCGCAGATTTTTGTGAAGACTATTTCAAGGCCACTCGGCACACATGACGCCATAGTGACACCATTAAAATATTGACTTCCTATGAGTCATGGGGCGTTTAAGGCCAGGAATAATAAAATCGTTGAGCCGCTCAGATCTAGCGTCCATGAATACAATTTCTAAGCATTATGGAAGTAACTTGACTTTCCAAGTACATTGAGCAATCTGATGGCGGATCAAATTATGATCAGATCGCGGATAACTCAATTTCCGGTCTGCGACTGCGACTGCGATCTCAAAGGTCAATAAGAGAGCCTCTTGCACCGGTGTGCACCTCTCAGATTGTGCGTTCCTCTTTTTGGGCCAGAGATCACTTCCAACCGAGCATTCGGTTCTGTCGGCCAGAACTCTGGGGTCCCATTTCTCAATTAAAGACAAGGTCGAGACCGCAATTGGTTTTGATCGGGGCGCCTGAAACAATACTGTGTCCGTCACGAGCCCACAGTGACTAACAGGGCGTCCTGTGTCGACAAGAGCCCCGAGTCGGCTAAAACATTTGCTGAACAAGGACAGGGGCAAGGTCCCGAATTTCAGAGGGCCTCTTGCGTTGGTCTGGGCACTTTGAAAATGAGATGAAACATAATAACTTATGATGAGACTTCACATTGAGACAATGGAAGGGGCCCGTGTCGGTAAGGGCCATAATACCGAACGGTGGGGGATCCAACCTGATTTCAGCCATGGTCCCTTGAAGCAGAACCGATGTATATGTGCCAATTATCAGATCACCTGCGCCGATCAGGGATCTTATCGCGTCAAGGACGGCTCCTGCGTCGATCCAGGGCCAACCGAGCGGGTCAGAAAGCCAGGGAGGCCCAAGGGCATCTAGATCGACCAGGGAATCACTCCTCCGTGTCGTCAGAATGGTAGGCGTGAGGTATCCGCGCTGGGACGGAATGGTCCTTCAGCGCTTGAACGAGAACGATAATGTGCCGCTTGGTGTTCACCAGACTATAATAAAGATTATGTGCCCTCTTGCCTGAAACGAAGTGAGGGGGTTTCAGTAGTGTTAAAAAGCGTAGCTCAAATAGGTCAAATGTGAAAACGGCCATCCCATGTAAGCCTAATAATGCTTATTGTTTTGTATATGCGGCCACTCAGTCGGGGCATAATGTGCCTGTATTGACGTGCTTGTTGATGTGAGTGATGTGCTTGGCAATTGGCTGGCCAAAGATGACCTGTCAGTGACCACCGACTCCGCTAAGCACAAATATCCTGATCCAGACTCCGCACGGCACAAATATTCCGATTTAGACTCCGCACGGCACAGATATCCCGATTCAGATTCCGCACGGCACAATGATCCCGATTCATATTCCGCACGGAGCAAATATCTTAATTCAGATTCCGCACGGCACAAATATCTTGATTTAGTCTCTGCATGGCACAAATATCCAAATTCAGAGCCCGCAAGGCACAAGTATCCCAATTTAGACTCCGCGCGGCCCAAATATCCCGATTCAGACTCCGCACGGCACAAATATCCCGATTCAGATTCCGCAACGCACAAATATTCTGATTTAGAGTCCGCACGGCACAAACATCCAGATTCCGACTTCACTCGGCACAGCTATCCTGATTTAGACTTCGCGAGGTACAAATATCCCGATTCGATCACGGCATGTCCGATTCAGTGGATCGTTTTCCATGTATTCGGGCCGCGTCGGCGGGCGCGCGCGGCTCGCGGCTGGACGGCCAGCCAGCGCCTGCGGGCGAAGAGCTGAGGGGCGCTGGCGATCGATGGTGGTCCAGCAGTCAGCTGACGGCGCAGTCAGCTGGCGGCGAGCCGTCGGCGGCACCGATACTTCCAGCGCGCCCAGCATGCTGAAGGCTGAGATGCAGGTGAGGCCGACGTAACAGGTCATCTCGCAAGGTCAGAACTTAAAGAGAGCTCCCTGTGGATAACTTGTAGCATTTGTGTGTGGTTCTCGGTGTCAGGGACGTCTTAGAGTCTAAAAATGAGTGGCTTAAAACCCCCAGGCCTCATTCTTTAGTCAAGTCTTTCTGTCCGTCAGCTGCGTTAATGTCAAACTTTCACAAGAAATGGGTGTATCATGGCCTGCCACCTAGGCCCTTTTCACATTTATATTTGGGACTCCCAACTGGAAAGTTGAAACGCACAAAAGATCAAGTGATTATGAGACGTAGGAAAGTATAAAAAGGGAGTAGATGAAAATGTCGGCAAAATCTAAGGGCAGTGTTAGTAAGCGCAAAAGTGAGCTCAGAAATGACGCATTGTGAATGGTCTTTGCATCCACGATGTACGCGTTGTCAGGTGGAAATCGGGTGGAAAAGCCGGGCGTCGGTTGAAAGTTCGATATTGGTCTCATAGTCTGTAGGTGGGTGCATCCATCACCCATGTGTTTGCGTATCATTAATACGTCTGGATGCAGCCTTACATTGGTCGCACCCTCGTGCATGGACCGTGTGAGGAACTTCAGACAAACGTATCACCACTCCCTAACCAGGTGGCAGCACGCGCCCAGACTGTGGCCGTGTGACCCTGCCGACCGTGACACCGTGTCACCCGGCAGACCCTGACACCGTGTTAACCCGCAAACCTTGACACCGTGTGACCCTGCCGACCCTGACACCGTGTCATTCTGCAGACCCTGACGCCGTGTGACCCTGCAGACCCTGACACTATGTGGCCTTGTCGACCCTGACACCTTGTCACCCTGCAAACCCTGACACCGTGTCACCCTGCAAGCCATGACACCATGCCATTCTGCCTGCCGATCCTGACACCATGCCATTCTGCAGACCCTGATGCCGTGTGACCCTGCAGACCTTGACACCGTGTGGCCCTGCCGACCCTGACACCATGTCACTCTGCAGACCGTGAGCGGGTGACATGGACGAGACGTTGAGTCGGGGCCTGGCGGCCGGCCGCAGCGCACCGCCCCGGCTCTGCGTGGCTGGGCCTGCGCCGCCGCCCGACCGCTACAACGGCGTCTACTTGGCGCTACTGCTGGCCGGAGCCGGCTTCCTCCTGCCCTACAACAGGTCAGAGCTCATGATGCCCAGGGCAGCAGGTCAGAAACTGCTGCCGGCCGGAGCCGGCTCACTCCGATTAAGTTCGAGCGTCATTTTTCACGACTCAACTGATTATAATTCCGAAATCTGGTGGCAAGGAAAGCTATTAGTTTTAAATATAATAGAAACTAGCATAGATAGCAGCATGCAGATCCAAACAGCCGCAATTCAATCACAGGACCAGCAGACAGCAGGGTGCACAAGTGCAGCACGCACCTGAAACAGCTGTCATGTCCCACTCGGAGGTGTCACTTCCTTAAGTCGGCTGGGGACTGAGCCGATAAAGCTGTCTTAATCTAACCCAAATCCTGATTTATTTGCGATCCCTGACACTTAAATTAGTTTTCTCTTGTCAATAAACAAAAATATTTGGCTGATTCCAAAATGGTTTTGATGCTGAGGAATGTCTTCCCATTTGGAGCTGAGGTGAAGCAGCATTTCTATACAAAAGCTTAAAGCGAGGGTGTAACAAAAAAAATGTTGGTAAATCAACCGGCCGCGATCAACGAAAAACAGTGTCGATTTTCGTTCATTAATGGCGGCCCGACGCGCAGAAGCATAGTCTCGTGCGGAATGGCGTAACCTGACACGCACGGACGGGAGCCCATACAAAAGTCGTCGACACTGCAGGATGTACCTGCATAACAATGAAACTGAACTGCGCGACATTCGCAACAGATATGTAGATAGCTGGAAGAACATTATATGGCAACTGGGATCACATGATTGACAATGTCATCAGTCAAGCAGTCGTTACACTGAGAAAACCCGGCGTTTGGAAGCTGTGCTCATGGCCAGCTTTCTTGTTAAAACCGACGGACATCACCACAATATTTATTTCGCTCTGGAGAACAGCGCACAAAGTGTGATGATTCCATTTCTCGACGCTGTGTATGTTGGCCAAACCAGGTGAGAGAGATACCGTCAAACTCCACTTAAAACCGTCCCTTCCGAAACGCGCTATATCCCGTCCGGTAACTCAATAAGTCGGAGTGCCTCGTTTGAGCGGATGCCCAAAAGACTGGGTAACATATCCCGATTGTGGCGCAAGCTATCGGTTTAACAAAACAGCACATCAGGTTTGCAGAGAAGTCGTCGGAAGATGAATCAACCAAGCTCTCTGATGTGAAACTACCATTCACATAAGGTGGCCGGGATATAAGTTCACCCACGTGTAGCTCAGCAGTGACGAGCGTACTTCTCTCGCAATTAAGTCCGTGAGGGCACCCATATGCACATTCGATGGCAAAACATGATAAAGAAGATAAGATTCGATGGCAAAACATGGTAAGATGTGATGACTGATGACTGGGACATTCCGGGACAAAACCACGAAAACCCGAATTTTACGTTCTTGTCTATCGAAAAACCTGAAACTACGTCATTAGAGTAGTCTGAGGCTCGAAAGACGACTCTATCAATACTAGACCTCGCCGAGCACGGTCGCCGAGTGAGCCGTGACATGGCCACACACAACCTGCATGACCTCTTAGAAGAGCCTTGGGCACTTCTGAGAGGTCATGCAGCATACCGTTCTTTGATGGCCCCTAACCTGCACCCTAACCTAGCCTTTCCATAAGAATTTTAAGAACATATATTTTGCACATAAATCGCTTTTGAGCCTCGCAAAAGTGCGTATAGGTGGCGCTTCGAACGCTATCTCTACATATCTCCGACCTGAATAGATATATCGACAGGCGGTCAACGCCAGTCGTTGCTATGCTTGATTATCCATAATAACCTTGAGTTAGATTTCATAAACCGAGGTCAAGTTCAAGGTCACATCAGGTCAAACGTTGATAAATTGCTTTTGCTAGCATTTTGTTGAGGTAAATTTGCAAAACTGTTCGATGGTTGTATAGGACAGGAAACGTGAGCATACATATCTCATTCGCGTTCCGATGTCGCCACGGGGCAAGTGAAGTGGGGATGGGGTCGGCCTCGCGACGCCCGCTTTTGGTCACGCTCCGCAAACAAGTGGTTAAGGGGTGCGAATGTGGGACACTGACCGTCGCGTCGGAGAGATGACGCAGCCGTTCTCGAACAACGGCAAATGCGCAGCCGTGGTCAGTTGGCGACCAGACTGCGAGGTGTTAGGAGCAGCAGACAAGATGCAGTGCTATGCATTTATGAAATGCCGCGTCAAACGCACTTTTGCCGTGAACCTTTATTGCGGCACAAGAAGGCAATAGTGAAACAATTTGTAGAACCATCCGATCATCTCACCCAGAATCTTTATGACCCACGGCTTACAGCTGGTGACGTGATGTGCGTAATTTGTTGAATAAGGCTAGCAAAGGACTCGAACAGCCTGCCAGTGCCAGGAAGAAGCAGCTCAAGTTCTGTCACGGCTCAAACAAGAGATTCAAGCAAAGGAGTTGGCGAATCAATTGAATCAGTCGGCTCGTCTTTGGAAGCCGACATGAGTAGCCAAGCTACCGAGTCAGTGATGCCGCTTCTAGATATCTGATCACTGGCCAGTTCGAGCAAGAATTGAATACTGTCTTTGTACCATTAATTTGTCTCAAAGCGGTTTATGACATGCTATGAGACAATGCCTAAGGAGGTATTATCTAACTAATAAATATGTGGCGAATTTAATATGACCATAAACATCGCCCTCGTTGTATCCAAAGAAATAACGATTTGGTAAAAATGATGAATAAAAAAATCACAAATAACAATAGGAAAATACATTCCTGGTTGGGAGGTATAATTTCTTCCACCCATCCCCACATAAACAGGAAAGTGCACCCCTCTAGGGCTCATTATGCTAAGCACGTCTTTATATGACAACTTCATTAGATTAGTATCAACCAGCATTCAATGTTTGATGGCCAGAAAATGAAACTTCAGTGCAAATGAGACTGCCGATACGAACGTGTTTGATAGCTATGCCACATTACATTTGGCTTATCTTTGTTTTGTGGCTTATCGCATATAGGATTATACTGCAGCGGTTTCTGGTTGCTTTGACTCAAGATGACAATTTAAGCTGCTGCAAGTTTTGCCGGTGACGGAAAAGACAGTTTTTCACCCCCGCGCGTAGAACTCATGACTTGTCTGAATTTTTGCGGTAGAAGTAATGCCGTTTGTAAGCAGGGACTGTATAAGTTTGTGCAGTAGATGAAATGACGCGCACAAGTTGCACTCGTGTCGTGTAAGGATATTCGCAGTAAAAGTGATGTCGCGTATAAGGTGAACCACGCCCGCCCCGGGGAAGTTCATTCTCCCCTATGACTTTTCGAGCACAGGTCAAAAATAAACGCTTGCAGCGACACCAAATTCTCGGTACCTATTCATCTAACAACTTGGAATCAGCTCTTCAAAATTGAAGTTTTTATCTACCAAGATCAGTGACCTATATCAGGTTAACGAGATAAACCTCTATTTTTTTACCACATATAACCTCCTCGGGGCTCATTTGCCTTTGTTCAAACTTTGCATAGTAGTAAAACATAATAGCGCGTACAGTCTTAATATTTCAGACTTTTCGGAATATGTGAGGCTGTTGACCTAATGACAGGTCAATTGCTGCTATCTGTGGTAAGCAGTGCACGTTTGGACGTATTTTTGTGTAGTTTTTTGTTGTATATGAGGAAAAAAGTAGTAACTTACATGTGCAGCTATCATATGACTACAGAGCACATGACCTCGGCCCAGGTCATGGCCTATCTCTATGAGTACATCCTGCAAAACCAAACTAAGCTCAAAATAGACAGTTTTTAGGCAATTTTGGCCGCAGAATTTGAATATTTCACCTAAAACGTGTTGAGATAAATGATAATGCGAAGTCCCAACGGGTCATGCAAGGTATAGAAGGTCATCCACGATCAACGACCTACGTTGCCAGCAGCGGAGAGACTGGATGAGGGAGTGCGACGCGTGTGGCTACCTTCTTATTTTGTTTGTGAAGCTGATGTCTAATTTCATGGAGCAACGTACCTGTTCTCAAGTTGCTACAAATACATTGCCAAACGCCGGAGGAACTGTCTATAATGTAAACAACAGCTATGCGATCTTTCCAGTGCCCATAGGTGTCCAATACACTGTTTCTGACCACAAAAATGCATTGTAGTGCTCACATCGGCCCGGCTAGCACTTAATCTTTTTAGCGGGATGAGTTGTAAATTTAGCCTGAGTTGACTTTAGATTGTCTCTAAATCACCATAAAACGATATATTTGTTTCTGGAACACGTTTGTCCGACAGCTGCATCGAACAAAATGAACTCAGAAACACATTGTGGAGAAAAGTAACATTTTTGTAGGCTTATGGTGGACCAATTTTTGACGGTAACCTTAGCAGACCTGACCCATGTGGGGGGGGGGGGGGGAGGGGCAGAAATGGTCGAAATGAGCTCCCTATTGTCTTTAGGCTTATTTCCACTCTCTCAATAACCATGTTGACGTGTAAATCTAGGTTTTACTGCATTCATCGGACATGCCTTGCCGTCTACATGATGGAAATTGGCGGTAAAAAACTATATTCATGTTTACCCCTTCTGCAATCTAAACTAATCACACCCCTAAAATGATCCTATCATTTTAACCACTTTTAAAGGAAGTGCTGCACCTTTGTGTGGGGTTTTGGGCTGAAGTAGTTATTTTGAAGATCATTCAGTGCATTTCACAGCTAAGCCTTTCACAAGGCTTAAATAAACTTAGCATTCTCTTGTTTCCGAGCTTGACACCCGCAAGCATGTGCAGACTATTTCAAGGTCACTTCTTGAACTATGTAGTGCTTGAGGCCCAGAAAAATATGATCAGCAAATTATTCATGTCTGGAATACGTCTGCACAATTTGTGACGTCGACCGGCATCAATTAACAAGGAACTAACGCAATCCGTTGAGTGCAACCTTCGAGCACGAATTAGGTTTCGTGTTACGCAATATAAGGGTTAGAACAGCGGTACGCGCTATGACGAAAACAAGGCTGGAAATTTAATAGCCTAAGAATAACAGCACGACTGAGTGCGTGAACGCAAGTAAACAACACAAAGTCACGGACAAATATGCAAGAATACCATGAGAAAGACCCAACACAAGAGTACATAACGAACTTCTGTCTCGGCGAACACGCACTAGCAAACGCCCCCACATCTCAGCAGGCTGAAACACTACAAGTGAGTCAGTCCGTCGGTTACGGAGGCAGTTCTGACACGGCCACTCTGGCAGCGACTCTGACGTCATAAAGACGTCCTATGACGTGATGGTCAGTCCGTCGGTTACGGAGGCAGTTCTGACACGGCCACTCTGGCAGCGACTCTGACGTCATAAAGACGTCCTATGACGTGATCAAACGAGGACGCATTTAAGAACATATTTACTACGGAGTGATCTGTTGTTTTATCGAGCGATCTTTTATGTTTAAAAACAAACCGATAGTTCCAAGTGAGCTTAGCTTTTCACACCTGGTGTCTGCCTCAAAAGCTTCGAATGTGGAGCATTCTGACTGCCAATGCTTGTCTGAATGCAAACGTGAGGCCAATGTTTCCATTACAGGAAGTCTACACACCACCTCATGACGATAATTAGATGCGTATTATGCATATTATAATTTATGCGTCTATGCATAGGCCTGTCGAACAAGGCGCCGCGCGCTCTATCAGCGTGTGCTGCCGTACTGGCGCTGCCAACGCCGTCATCGCTCCCGTCTTCCCACAGCTTCATCGTGGCGGCCGACTACTTCCAGGCGCAGTACCCAGGCTCCACTATCGTGTTCGATCTCTCGCTCACGTACATCCTGGTGGCCTTCTGCTCAGTGCTGCTCAACAACGTACTGGTGGAGGCCGTTGACCTGCACAAGCGCATCCTCTTCGGTCAGTGGCGAAGCCGCCCGGCTGAACACCGGTGGCTTAGCTGTGGAGTCATAGTTTGTCTTCGGTCAGTTGCGAGGCCGTCCGGTCGGACACCGGTGGCTTAGCTGTAGGGTCATGGTCTTGTTGGTTTTGGGGGCTGGGATAGGTGGTGACTTGCTTGACCATGTGGGATGATGGCTGTGTGACAAGGCGGTGATGATGTTCGTTGGAGATGACGATATAGTTGTTTTTGGCGAGTTATGCCATGATCATTGACAGTCGGCTACGAAGCTAACTTGGCGCGGTTAAACACGCATGTCGCCATAGAGTCGTAACTCAACGCCTGCCACCCCATCAGCCATGCCGTGTTCAAGGCCAACAAAAATATAACCAACGCGCCGTTAATATCTGGCGTTCGGGAGTACCATGGCCAGATTTAATGGACGCCAATTTGCTCTTAGTCGACTTTGAGCGGGCGCAGCCAGTTTTCATCACGATTGCATGTGTGGACTAGACCCCTTTCGACCAGAAGTAATTATTTCAGGGTTATGGGATGAAGGAGAACGGACATCGGTGGGACAGAACTGCGTACGCCCAGGAGGCCAGCCGCCGAGCTTTAGCCCGTGCAGGAACCCCCTGGGTATGCGCTGAGAGCCCGGTCGTGTCTCCCTTCTCAGGGGGTCTCTCGACCTACTCGTGGCGTGCGCAAACATCCTGCCCCGGATTAGCGGGGCGCCGTGATGGTTAAGGATAAGACAAAAAGGAGGACAAGTGGGTCGGATTTCATCACAATTACGCGTTACATTCCGGGATTAATGTGTAAAACACCAGGAGAAAGGGGCAAAGCACGAGCATATAATGACGTTTGGTTCAGCACCACCACGGCCACGCCTCCAGCACTGCCACGGCCACCTCCCGGGAGATTGAAGTACTACAAGCGAGTGCCCAGAAGCAATTTCACACGGCTAGTTTGGCAGCACCTCAACGACATACAGAAGCTCCATGACGCAATTAAACAATGACGTGTTGACGCATGACGCATATTCACTAAATAGAAAATTGTGTTGTGTAAAGCAGTCTCTTCCGCTTCGAAATATACAAATAGCTATAAGAAAGCTTTTTCGTTATATTTGATGTTTGCTTTAACATCTTCAAGTGTACAACATGCCATAATATACAAAGTTAAACAAGGTAACTGACCTTAAATGAGCACCAGTGATCTTTTGTTCAGAACAGGTATTTAGGTTCGGGACACATTGGACACCAATCTGGAGTTTTGTCTGGTTTGACCTTATTTGACCTGAAGATCATGACCTACGAACCCCACATTTTGCCGAAAGTGAATTCATGCACAGGCCAACACACCCTGTAAATTTGGTGCCTCTAGCTTTCTGAATTTCTGAGATCTCAGCAGGGTCAAACTGACCCCCACTTGGGCGAATGGCGCTCAACCTGCCATCGGGGCGCATGCTAAATGAAAATATTTGGCTCCACTCTGCCGCAAAATACTTACTTAGCCTATTTGCTTTACCTCGCATTAGGTCACTCACTACCCATTCTTCCTGTCGCTATCATGAAATCATTGAGCCACTCTTGCACTTATGGTGAACATAAAGATGGTTTATTGAATTGTACGAATATACTTCTTTTGCTATTGTCCAATTCACTTTGCCGGTGCACAACGCCAGCGTGGCACATTGCATAAATGATGGTCGTGAATATGTATATATGTATATATATATATATATATATATATATATATATATATATATATATATATATATATGGGGGGGGCGTGTGTCTGAAAAAACGCCGTTTACAAGTTCTTGAATCCATCCTCATCAGAGAAAGAATGCCCGACTTCAGCAAACAAATTAAGTCATGCATTTCTTTGGACATGCTCAGCCACTCAATGACAGTAGGGGGATTCAATGTTCTTGCCTTTCCGTGCTGTTATACTGGCTGGAAAACTGATATGCTTCTGTTTGTATGTGTTTTGTAATTTTGACCAGATATTCGGATGTATAATCCGTCAACTGATGGTTTACCAATGATTATGTGTTGTAGAGCATGCCTCGCAATTTTCCATCTTCGAATATTTTCCGTCTGACCGTCTTACATTGCTTTAAGAATGGGAAGTGAATGTCCTTGAAATACTGGCCAGCCTAAACTAATATCTATGACAATAGGCAATTTGATTTATGACATACCAAAAACAGCGAAGGATTTAATTTGAGCAATCGAACAAACGCACAAGACACTGATTGCATGTACATTTCATCTTGCGTATAACAAAACCTGCTTTAATGAAAGCATACTGCCTAAGTATATATATATATATATATATATATATATATATATATATATATATATATATATATATATATGTGTGTGTGTGTGTGTGTGTGTGTGTGTGTGTGTGTGTGTGTGTGTGTGTGTGTGTGTGTGTGTGTGTGTATGTATCTGCAATTGGGTCATATGCGCCGACACCGGATAGTGTGGAAATGTTTACCAACATGTTCACAATCTTCCACTCAACATGCATTAGCTAGTTTCCTGCCAAAATGACATAATAATTACAGGACTGCGCCTAACGTTGAAATAGCTTGTCAAAGACAGCAGTCAGAGGCTGTCATTTAGCATCAACATGAACTATTGATGGCTTCCAAGCAATATATGAACACCACGTTTTATCTTGTATGTTTTATTGTAGTCAGTAATATGTTCATGGTAATTCTACCTTGTGTTGCTAGTAATTGGTAACTGGCAATTCTACCTTACCATGGTAATTCTACCTTGAACTTTGCATGTGAAAAAACTGGAGAGGTTCAGCTGAAATAGTTAAGAAAGGCAAACATTCTGCAACATGATCGAAGAAAATTAAACCGTCATGATATCGTTATCTTGTCGTCATTGCACACCTCAAAGTGGTTCCCTGAATCGATTTTACGTACACATTTTGCTTTTTTCTCATTTTGACTTGCCAGTGCAGTATGCTGTATGGTTTACACAAAAAATTGTGCTCGATGATTATCAGTGCACTTCAGCCACACGCTTCCGGACTGGAAGTTGTGTGGAATGCTTACCAAGATGTTCACAATGTTCCTGTTGAAAGAACCTCCTCCTCCTCCTCCCGAAAGAACCCGTCTCCGAGGCATTTTTTTTAAAGCGAACAATAGTGAAACCTCAGGACCAGTTACGTCTAATCAAAACACTGGGTAGTGCCACTGCAGCACCGTCAAGACACAATGGAGATGTCAATGTTGATTATTTAGGAGTCCGAATTACGCTGTCAACGATTCGAAACAGCACTGCGCCTCTTTCCTGCAGTCGCGATCACTGTCGTCATTACAACACAATGCACACTTCTATTGATGCAAGTAAAATAATGTTTTTGATTGACCCAGGGGGAAGGGCCTGTTACCGGGAAGCGGATTGGTGGAAGTTTGAACCACTGCGCGACATGAATCATATATTGCTTCCATTCTCGAAGCCAAAGTGTGCCTCGAAAAGAGCCACTGTGGTGAGGGCCATAGCGGAGAAATCAAAGGCATATTCTAACATTTTTGGGTAAGACAGCACTGTCAGCCTTTTCCTCGTAGAATAACCAGGAGAATGGAGAGACAAATGTCTTGATGTTTCGGCTGTTTACCTTTATCAGAAGGGAGATCAGGAGTGAATTCAAAATTGCCTGCCGATCCTATACTCAGCATTTTGAACGGCGAGTCACAGTTTTTACAAGCAAACAACACTTGGGGATTAAAGAAAGCAATTACCAGCCACTACTACGATGCCGTGTGTATCCAACTAAGAATCCAAAATGTTCGAAAAATACGTGTACATGCGAACGAATTCGAGTAAACAGGTATCAAGCATCACACATCATTCACACATTCATGTAATTTGCAGTAAACAGGTGTTACGCATCACGCATCACTTATACCTACAAAATATTTCAATTAAACAGCCATCGCGCATCACGCGTCAGGCATCACTCATACATTTAAACGATTTTAAGCGAGCACGCATTACACATCAGGGCACTTATCGCATTTGCATAATCGGCCATGATGATCCCCGTACGTTAAGGTCTGGCCACTGAATTATTATAAGATTGGATTCACTCATTTTCCTGTCCGGATGGTCCTGTGCTCTGTAGATTACTTTGAGCTCTAGAAGGGGTATAGGGTACATACCTCGCTGAATTTGAGCCTGAATGCGTCTTTACAAAAAATTCGCTGAAGAGGTATTCTCTGTTTTTGGGGAATCTCGCAAGTATGCATTACGTGTAAAACGGTTAGGGCGTACGGAGATGAATACTATCGACAGAAATTGGGCATATCGATGGGAAACCTATGCACCTCTCATCTGCCGGTTTTAACAAGATACCGCCTGTTGTTTTCCTTGCCGCCTACTCAAGTGGGAAAATAGGTACAATATCGTAGCTTTTTGGTCACCGTGACCTTCTTAAGATTAAAAAGAACACTGGCCTTAAATAAACGCGACTGACACTTTGCTTAGAGTAGAAAATTAGAATTGATGCAATACAATTAGAAATCTAGCTTCACGGCGGTGGTATCAGGAGGTTTACCAGCAGTTCGGACACCAATCTGGAGTTTAATCTTACTTACCTTACCTGACCGCAAGGTGATGACATAGGAACTTTAAATTTCGACGTAAGGGAGCTTTCGTACCGGAAAACTTATCATGTGAATTCGGTGTCTAGCTATTTTGGTTTTCGGGATCTCAGAGGGTCCAATTGGCCCCCACTCGAGCGAAGTGCATTCAACCGGCCACCTGGGAGCGTTCTAATGAGGCAGCTCAGAGAAAAGGCGCATTTCTTCTGCGTAAGGCGAATCTGGGTTTGGGACACTTCTGACAGGACCTGCTGTCGTTTGGGACACTTCTGACAGGACCTGCTGTCGTTTGGGACACTTCTGACAGGACCTGCTGTCGTTTGGGACACTTCTGACAGGACCTGCTGTCGTTTGGGACACTTCTGACAGGACCTGCTGTCGTTTGGGACACTTCTGACAGGACCTCCTGTCGTTTGGGACACTTCTGACAGGACCTGGTGTCGTTGCAGGATACGTGCTGTCATTCGTTACGCTGCTGTTCGTCGCCGTCTTCGAGATCTGGTGGCAGGTGTTCAGCAACACCACCTCGTACGGTGTCAACCTACTGGCCGTCTCCGTGGTCGCCGTCGGCTGCACAGGTCAGCACAGGTCACTCACCATAGGTCTGATGTAGGTGAAGGTGCTAGGCGACAGGTCACAGTTTGGTACAGGTCACCACAAGTTACGTGTGAGTCACGCTCGCCGCAGGTGGCTGATCTCCACAGGTCCCATAGTATATGGCACACTGGTCACTGGTCAATATAGGTTAGCAAAGGTCACAGTCCGCTGGCAGACAGGGTGTGCCAGTGTTCGGTCTGTCTTTTTATCTGAGGGGTAACGCAAATGCCATGATGAAGGTCGTACTTCAGGAATATTGACCAGTAGCGGTCCGGCAGGTGGGAGTGAGAGCAGGGGAGTGGTTGTCCCCCTGTCAGCAGCCAGGGGGGCAAGAGGATATTTTTCACTCTCACAAAATGTGTCGGCCCCTTTACGCGGACTTTAGGCGCTTTCGCTAACCGTTGTGGAAATTTGGATCAAGGAGGCCCCAATAACTCAGCTGGAGAGTAATAAATCGGACTCACAAGAGCATTTTTGTATCAAGAGAGCCGTTTACTGGATCATAAGGCCACCTTTATGTACAAGGTAGCCCATGCCATTACCACGATGTCGTGGTAAGGAGGCCCTTTGTTGACTCGGGAGACTCCCGTTACGGACTAGGAGGCATGTATTCTGGGTCAGGAGTCACTCTCCATGTTTAGGAGGCCCCATTTCTATAACAAGAGGCCGTTTTGCATACATCAGATGTCTGCGGTTCCGGATCGGAATGACCGATTTTGGGATAATTAGGCCACTTGGCTAGATTTGGAGGCCTCATCATTAATCGGAAGCATCCTGTTCTAGATTAGGATGGTCCTCTGTGTATCAGAAGGCTCTTTTCTGGAACAGAAGGCTTTATTTTAGGAGAGCGAGACATTTTGCTGGATAATCATAATGCATCCGTTCCGGATATTACTTAGATGTGGGGGTAGGGAACAATTTGATAAGGGGGCACATGCCTCCGGTGCCTCCCCTCTCAAATACGACAATGCCCAGCACCCCCTGCCGTGAGGAGGCCCCCTGGGAAACCCTGCCCCCCTTACTCAAGGTTCGTGGTGCTGCCCTGATTATTAGTGGCCGACTACAATGCATTTAATCTGGTTATGCAAAGAATTAGAACACCAAAATTATTATGGTGTAATAAAATAGGATAAAAAAACAGGACAAACGTTTTACCTTAACGATTTCCTCAGTGTCAGTTTTTCAATGCAAGAACATTTCACAAACTGGGAAAAATATAAATCACGTGTTTTCCACGATGCCAACTCACCGGAGAAAACCTGCAAAATGTTCCGTGCTTGCAAAGATGTGGTTGCTCCAAAAATTGCTGAGTCAATGGCCATTCGTCACGATTACCTGGGCACATTACGGAGCACATGTAGTTCATCGTGACAACCTGTGTCACTGTTCTTTTATTGGAAAAAACGGGCACTGAGGAAGCCGTGAATGTGAATCGGAAGTCCTCTTTTGACCTTTTTCAATATACGTTCATACTTTTGTTTATTGCAGTTCATCTAAGATCTGTGCTCAATCTAATGTATTCAATCTGCAAGACTGACTGGTTGTTTGTGTATATCGCCCACGGTCTGTGTCTCTTGCCTCAACATTTACCTGCTTTTCTGCCTGTCCCTTACCACTGCTGGTGTTTAGGAGGTACGGTTAATGTTGGTCCACGTGAAAAACTTAAACACTGCCAACCTCACTGATGTATGTATTTAATCAGGCGACTTATTTACATTCCATTTACGTCAACGACCGTATGAATGTTAGCAACTATCGCGGAATGCAGTGGTTTTAGACTGTTCAATATGAGGACCCCGTTGCTCTCCCCGTGACAACGAATCGACAGCGCAACCTGACCGCGTGACCTGACCGCGTGACCTGACCGCGTGACCTGACCGCGTGACCTGACCGCGTGACCTGACCGTTGGTCCCGCCGCTGCACATATCACCAGCTGTCGTCGGCCGGTTCCAGCTCAGCAGTCGAGCTTCTACGGCTACACGGGCATGCTGCCGAACCGCTACACCCAGGCCGTGATGACGGGCGAGAGTGAGTGGAGGCGGCGCCGCGCCGATCGGGGAGCGGGCGCCGATGCGCGGCTCCAAACCCCACCAACATCACGGCTGCTGGTAGACCCCCCCCGGCTTGCTCTCAATTCACCGCCTTAAGTGTTGTCTGTGCTAGTCTGGTTTTCAAGGCGCTGTCAAAACACATCCAGGGGCTGTGTTGCCGCTACCGATTCACGTTTTTCCATTTTGTTTTTTAAAGCCAGTCCAAGATCCCGGTTTAACCCATGTGGTCCTGATACCCCTTCTCTCCCCCCCCCCCTCCATCTCAGATACGTAGTTACACTCATGTCTGCACAACGACGGAGCTGCTGGGCCGATGGTCCGCGCTGCTCCATGTTGGGTGTTTTGGTGTCATTTTCCTCCGATAGGCGCCGCCGGCGTGCTGGTTTCGACCAGCCGGATCCTGACGCGGCTGCTGCTGGACGACGTGCGTCTCAACACGCTGGTGTTCTTCTGCTGCTCGCTGCTGCTGGTGGCCGTCTGCTGCGTTCTGCACCAGCTGCTCAGACGGACGGCGTTCGTGCGTCACCACGTGGCAGCCTGCTCGGCCGACCCGCTGTCCGAGACCCAGGCCGGCGATCAGGTCACACTGGTACGGGGCGGGTACGGCGTAATGATCAGGTCACACTGGTACGGGGCGGACGCTGTACCGCGATCAGACCACACTGGTACCGGGCAAGTACGGCATAATGATCAGGTCACACTGGTACGGGGCGGGTACGGCGTAATGATCAGGTCACACTGGTACGGGGTGGGTACGGCGTAATGATCAGGTCACACGGGTACGGGTCGGACGCTGTACCGCGATCAGACCACACTGGTACCGGGCAAGTACGGCATAATGATCAGGTCACACTGGCACGGGCAGGCACTGTACCGTGATCAGGCCACATTGGTACATAGGAAGGTAGTCGAGTGGCCAGTTTACATTGGTTTGGGGAGGACTTATGTCATGCTGACGCATGTAATAGATACTTAGATAGAAGTGTTTGAACGAGGCAATGCCCGTCTGTGCATATGCCTGTAACGCACGCCTGCTCACGCGTCCCATCCGTCATCGCGGCCCCAGGTGGACATCGTGGAGGAGGCGGACGGCAAGGACTACGGGCGGCTCACTCTCGCCTCCAACAGCGACGACTCGGCCTTCCAGTCGACCGAGACGCTGCCGGCCGGCGGCGCGGCCTCCTACGACACGTTCTCGGAGCGGGCTGGCGGCACGTCCTACCGCGTCAGCGAGCTGCTGGTGCACGTGCGACGCTCGGGCCGCGCCCGCCACCCCGCGCTCGACTGCTGCGCCGCGCTCAAACGTACGCCCCGGCACGTACACAGTATTTGTACTAGGCATTTCCTGGATCCGCTGCATCGAAACTTGTGCCAGCCTCTGTGCTAGTGTGGTTGCCGGCACTGCCGATTAAAACAAACTGCTGCGTTTCGTCCTGAATTGTCCTGAACCCTGTCTTCATTGTCCTTCTCGTTATATTGTCCTCACCTTGTAATGTCCTTGACTCACCTTGATTTTGTGGTGTTTTTCGGTTGCCAGGCGGCACCCAGGCGCGCTCGGCGACGGTGCGCCGGGTCTGGCCGTACATGGTGTCCATCTGCCTGGCGTACCTGGTCACGCTCAGCCTGTTCCCTGGTATCGAGAGCGAGGTGCACAGCTGCACGCTCGGCTCCTGGATGCCCGTCGTCCTCATGGCCATCTTCAACGTCTCCGACTTCGCCGGCAAGGTAAGGCGTAGCTCCGCGATGCGGCCGCATGGTGCCGGCTTCGTCTTGGACAGATCGGCTTCGACAGTCAGACAGAGAGTGGGTGAGGTGATGGGTGTTTCGAACAAGATGATCCCATACGACGAGTGGAAGAACATCATGCCGGTCCGAGCACTACATTTTCCATGGCCTGGGAACGCAATGAGCTGAGACTGATGAATTTGGTGATCCCCTTCCCGACCAAAAACCTCGGTAAACTTAACGCCCTGTGACTCCAAAAGATGACATGGTGACCTGGATGACCTGTGTATTCATCCGCTGACCTCGATCACTTTAACGTATTGTGACCCACGGGATGCTCCGTTGACCTGAGCGACCTCCAAACCCCGTCAGGTGCTGCAGCGATGATCTTTGTGACCCCCACAACCTTCAAGTACTGCTCCGATGACCTGGGCGCCCTCACATCCCGTCAGACAATGCTCCGGTGACCCGGGTGACCCCGGCACCCCGTCAGGTGCTGTTCCGGTGACCTAGGTGACCCCACCACCCCGTCAGGCGCGCCGCTCCTGTAACCTGGATGACCCCGACATCCCGTCAGTTGCTGCTCCGGTGACCTGGGTGACACCGCCACCCCTGTCAGGTGCTGGCCTCCCTGCCGTACGAGTGGTCGCGGCGCCAGCTGGTGGCGTTCTCGACGCTGCGCTTCCTGCTGATCCCGCCGCTGGTGCTGTGTGCCGCACCGCGCGCCGAGCCGCTGCTGGCCTGGGAGGGCTGGCCCATGCTGTTCAGCCTGCTGCTGGGTCTCACCAACGGCCTGGTGGGCAGCCTGCCCATGATCCTGGCGCCAGACAAGGTGCCGGACCAGAACCGGGAACTCTGCGGTGAGAGACGGGGAGCGCTGGCCGCGGGAGCACGGCCACGCGCAGCCAGCGCGTGGCCACGCGCTGGGCGTGGCATTTGTGCAGGCACGCTCTGGCTGTGCGCGGCCTGGGTGAATGGCTGGCACTGCTAGTGGTGAGCCTATGTCTATCCAAATCGTTGCTGGCGTGACGCTCTTGCTATTGTTTCCTTACCTGCTGTGACGCCCTGCTGTTGCTCCTTCGTGTGGTTACGAGTGACAGGTGACGCATGTTAGCCAGCCACCGGCCGTGCCGCCGCCTGACACTGCCTCGGCCGCAGGTAACGTGATGACACTCAGCTACTCGCTGGGTCTGACCACCGGCTCGCTGCTGGCGTACGGCCTGGACGCGCTGCTGGGGCCGCCCGTCTACAGCACATGTGGCGTGCTCAACATCACCGACCTCTGCATCGCCGGCTGCCAGACCCTGCCCGGCACCAACGGCAGCCAGCCGCTCCCCTGAAAAGCAGGCCCTGAGGGGCAGTCGACGTCTGCTGCCAACCCGATGGCGTCCATGAGCCCACTCTTCTGAGAAGACCTCCGAACCACATGAAAGCATTGTGACACTCTACTGGCGGCAATTGCGGCTGACTCAATCATGAAGAGGCCAAAGACAGTCGCCATGACGAAAGTGCACGCGAGCAGGCGCGCATTGTCGTCCGCGCGCACTGTTAGTCTGAGTTCTCCGCGGTCTGCGGTTTTGCGCTCCCCGTGCAGAAGTCGAGTGACTATGTGTCCACGAGTGAGGCATAGTCTCGGGGTGAGCGCCAGCGTCCCCCGTCCCACGGTTGCCCTCCCAGAAGATATCATATCGTGAAGTGTTGGTACGGTGTTATACTTTAGACGGCGTCTCGGAGATGATTCGGATGGAAAGACCGTGCCTGAGTGGCCGAGTTTTCCTTGACGTTTAGTATTTTTTACACATAGCGAGCATTATCGTTCCCCGCAGATGATCGACGAAAAACATCACAAAGTAGACAACACAAAACTGGATACAGGCACCACCAACAAGCCAAGTAACACAAGGCAGGCTGTATTTGCTCGCCACGAACAGGCAGTGGAGCACATTTTTAGAACAAATAAGCACCCCACTCTTGGGATTGATTAACATCGGGCTCTTCGTCATCCCCGAATCATTCCCTAACAGGACAATAAGAATCTACACCGACCCGACTGTTCCGGTTTTGAGCACGCGTGACTGCCGGAAATAATCAGTCTTGTTTTGTTGAGAGGCTTTAGTGACTCATCCTTGTGTGGGTTGAGTCTGCACATCATGCGTGCTACATCTCCATCGGTCCATTCAATTCGGATGTGTCGAACTCGCGACACTATTTCACTAGCTCGCCACTATTTCCATGCAATTACGTTTCGCGTTCACGGCTGTGTACCACGCAACGCAAAGTGCAATTTCGGCACCAAAAACAGTACATACCTTGGCAAAAACTGGGCCGTACGCAAGCTCTCACGATGGGGGAGGGACGAAAACATCGTTGAAAACCAAGTTTGGCGCACCGTCGGCGCATGCAATTTCGTACGTGGCGTAAAATCACATGACGTGTTCAACATTATCTTATTTGTACGTGTCTCCGTGGCGTTCCTTACTGCTAACATTTGCTCACGTACATACTAATGCGTGTCACAACTTTGGGAGGAGGTACATGCCCCGGGAGCAGGGGTGTGATGTCGCATTGAATTGGGAGGAGGGCTTAACCGTAAACAATTATGAAACCTTCACCTATGATTCGTCAAAGAAATAATACTGTTGTGTATTTGGAAAGTTTCCTCTCAAACCTGCTGGTCCTGGATCCCCAGTTGGGGGGGGGGGGGGGGCTGAAGTCCCCCGAATGAATAGGAAACTATAGCACTACCCAGGAGCTACTATGTGCGTACGGTCCTGGGCCTAGGTGAGCATATCAATGGTGCGGGCAGTACACAAGATACACAAGATACCTGCACACCAGGGGCTTAGTTTTGCAAAGTGAGTTGAGGAGGGGCGGGGGGGTCTTGCACACTGAAAAAATACCCAACCTACCGAATCGAAAATATGCCAACAAACAGGATTGGTCGGGCCAACTGTCTTCTAAAAAATCGGGGGCTGGAGCCCAAGCTGGGGGCGGGGGGGGGGGGGAGTAGGGGGCTGAGGCCCAGGTTGTGGGATGAGAGCTATAGCTCCCTCCCCCCCCCCCCCCCTCTGACTGAAGAGGAAACTACACCCCTGCTAGACATACGCAGTGCAGTTTCGCTGGTGCATAAAGCTGAATCTATTCTAGTTTCACTCCGTTTAGTGTGTCACGCATCTGTGCTGCGTGGATTTACGCTAGCAGATAGCCAAAAACGTAAAATGATTGAGTGTCACAGGCATCATGCAATCTCACACAAATGCTCATGTTTAGCGTGTAATGACAGATTTGAGCACACATATGATAACACTAGTTTACAAATATGGCGTAATTAGTGCCGCAAGAGTTCACAACATCCCAATGCATGGCTGGCACACATCTTTGGAATATTGTGACGCCCTAGTCGCACTATCTGTAACGACTGAAGGTGTGCATTACGTCTCTCAGCTGATTGAGTGGCCAACTGAGCTGCGCGCGCAATGGCGGCGCGATCCTCGCATCGTGGGGCCAGCTGGCCGCTAGGGCACGAGCTTCAATGAACTCGGTGTTATCACCACTGTTTCAAAGAAAGATGCCCGCCTCCAGACACGCCCACACCGCGGACCTCGAGCGAACCTAGCGGACCTAGAGGACCCAGCGGATATAGGCATCCGAGCTCGGCTGACTCCACCACGCGCCGGGAGGGAAGCCGTGCACTTGAGCAGAGCTTGTCGCCACTGATACGGCGCGCTGTTGGACCGCTACGTGTCGCGTATCTGTATAGCGATGTGTCGTTTTGCGCTCGCCAGTGGTGTGTGGGTAATACAGAAACGTTATGACCGGCTGTTCGGGTCTGGCTGAAGGACGCCGAGCGCGGTGCAGGTAGAAATAATGACTCGGCGTTTTCTGTCTCAGAAGCTACGTGACACTACAACCCTGTTTGCGGTAAGCTTGAGCGAATGCTTTATCAAAGTGACGTGGTCACAGTGTCAAGGGCATCTCGATACAGTGTCAAGAGCATCTCGATAGTTTCATAAACATGTTTGATATCAGAGAACGTTCAAAATGTTTGCATGTGAGTGCGTACTATCAACACACTCTCAAGCATGCAAAATCTCATCAAGTTATCGACGGCGCCCATCTTGGCCATTGTCTTGATGAATGATAGCTTCGCATCTGTTCTTTTCCCAAATAATGGCACCGTCTGCCAGGGTCGGCGCCACGGTTGTGAGTTGGGGGGGGGGGGGAGGGGAAGGGACTTTCCAGAGGGCCCCCTGGACAAAATGGGCCCTTTCATAGGGGGGTCTCCTGCGTAGAGTAGCAGTCAGGGAAGGGGCATCAAGAACAAGCGGCCCTTATCAAATTTTTACATGCATCATATAGGGAAAAATCAATGCCCACAGCTGAAAATATAAAATGTCCTGCTCCAGAAAGAGACTCCCGATGCAAAGAGCGGCATTCTAATCCAGAACATGATGCGCACGATTCACGACGCGGCGTCCAAATCTAGCAAAGGGACCGCGCTATTCAAAAACAGGGCATCGGGATCCGGAACCGCGGCCATTTGATATATGAAGGGGGCCTCTTGATTCGCATATGGGGCATCCTGAATGAAGATGGTACTTACCATACCAGAACAGAGGCCTCCTTATTTGTACCACCCCCCTAACCGGCAAAGGGACCCAAAATTGGTCCTCCTGATCTAGAAGGTAGGCTCTGATATCCATAAAAATGACATCAAGACCCAGAAAATGTGTCTCATGATGCAGCAAAGAGCCTTTTGAGCCAAATTTACTAATTTCTTGCTAAGTTATGACGGCCTCCTTGATCTGAATTTTAGTATCTTACGTTCAGCTAGAATAACTTTAGTTGTGGAAAAACGGGCCTCCTAAAAATTTCTAAATGAAAAAAACATGTTCTTATTCCCTATGACAACATGCTGGGGGGCGGGGGGGGGGGGGCGGGGGGGGGGGGGCAAGCAGAGAGGCCATTGCCATTTTATTGAACAGACTTCTATCATTCTATGAATTTCGCAGGCTGCTCTCACGAGTCTAATATGATATCATGTTTAATATTGATATCAAATATAATTGTTTAAAAGGAACGTTGTGCATTGCCATTAAAATGCTCCCCAGTTTCAACTTCGATGTACGTACGCGTTCATAGCCATCTTTCTTTACATTTAACTCTAAACAGCTAGTGAACTTCCACATTATGCAATAATGGCTAAAACTAATAGTGAATGATTTCCAGTGTGCTTAACCGTATTTTAACTTTCAACAGGGCATTTCAACAGGCCAACTTCCGCAGGGCATGCTCCCATATAGCTGACTCCTGTTAATTGCATTTTATTTTGTAAATCAAATTTAAAGAGGCTAAGCTTGGTTCTAAAACTTATGGAACAACTAAAATGTGTTTCATAGGTGCCAAATTTTAAATGCGACTAAATAGCAGCTTTGCTGTCATTCGATATAAGGAATAAGATCCCGTTTGACATAAACAGTACATAATGTTATTCTAACGAGTTTTTTAAATTTAGGCCCACCAGCTCATACACTTTGCACCTTATCCAGCCATTGGCTACAACTGGCATCAAACAATTATCAATGCAGTTGCATGCATGGAGTAGAGGTCAGCAGAAATGAAAGTGGTACGACACTGGTACGACACTGCGTTAGACTCCGAGCTCAATGCCGGACTCCAGCAACACTCCTGGTCCGGCCGAGATGGCGCGTCTGTAGGTGGCGGCGTGGCCTGCGCCGTCCGCGCTACTGCTGTTGCGCCTGCCAGACCAGGTCAACGCCGGGGTGCCGCTGATCCGGCTGCATCGGCTGCAGGTGCACGGTGACTCTGGCCGTGTGTTACCGCCCTCCCGACGATGACGCTGCAGTTGATCGAATAGCTGCTACCCTGTCAGCAGAGCAACCGCTGAACTGCAGAGCCTTCGCCGTCGGAGATTCCAAGCTCCCTGAGATATGCAGGACGCCGGCGATCGGTGGTAGCGTTCTCGACCTGCTGAGAGCGACAAACCGTGCCACCAGATTTGTCGACATGTGCGACTTGCTGGGTCTGAAATAATGCGTCTGCCAACCTACTAGCGGTGAGAACATTCTGGACATTGTACTGTGTAACAATTACATCTCACGGAAGTAAAGATCTCCAGAACTCTGAAAATCCTCAGATATTATCTAAGGACACAAGGTCTCAAGAATCCTCAAAAGTCTCTAGGACGAACAAAAAGGAGACATCTATCTACCCCTCCTCGGAGCTCACTCACCACGCGTCATCTGATCCGTCGTAATTTCAACTACGCGCCCCATCCGTAATGTGATTCGACATGTCCTAAACAGGACGCCTTTAGCTCCTCACCAGCTATCCGTCGCATCAGATGGTTCTAGGATCGCAAACCGATACCTCACTCTGTGATTGGCTTAGCTGATCATCGTGTGATGTGCTCGCTTGTCATTGGTTAATTATCACGTCGTTTCCATAACATGTGACACGACTCGTTTCCGGTGGGAGTAGGATGTACGGGGAACCGTTTGTTACTAGGCATGCTTGCACGGTCTTTGGACTCGAAGGCGCAAGACTGCTGTTGAATGTGCACGTGGACATTGTGGCGTGGTGTGAGTTTTGGTGAGTGCGAGTTACTGGAAAACAGAAGCTGTAAACTGAAAATCTCTATCTTTGGCTGCCTCGCGAGAAAGACTAGCACGAGCGAGGTCTACACATGTCTATCACGTAAGCAGTTGGAAATCTGCCACACACTGTCCCGACGCAGGGCAATAGAACAAGTTCTCCAAAGTTCTGACTAGTGGGTATCGGCACATGCCATAATTATACCAGATTCGGGATAAGACTAGACCTAGGATGTTGTACTAAAAGTTGAGAGTGCTGTGCTAGCGGCAACTTTGGTTTGTTTGCACCGATTAAGTGTAATCGCGTATATCAGTCGCAAAACGCTTGAAGTTGCGGTGCGGTAGTGGGACTGATAGTTGGGGGATCGGATTAATTTAAATTACTTCCAGATGTCTCTAAGCCAATCCGATATGTCTTGTTCTTCCTCAAGTGACATTCTGTCTCGGCTTACCCATCATGAATCATTTGAAACATTTTGCATAATGACTGATCACGTAACGACTCAGTTACTGCACAGCGAGTCAGTTATGAACAGTGTGGCATAGGCTGCCGGCTGTTGAGTGCTGCATGCGAAGTGGCTGATCAATGTGTTCTGCTCAGGTACATTTATGTTAGAGCTGATAGTTTTGCTATTTTTCCATATATGAATGCTGGGATTGTTGCCTGATTGGCATTTGAATATTCAAAACATGTCATGATAAACTTGCACCATTATTTACAGAGGTGTTACCACCCATGAAATAGGTTAAACAGCAATTATGTCAATTGAGCACAGTTGCGTAGTTACATTAGATACGTTTATTGAGGAACGAATGACACTAAGATAATGGAAATGTCTCTTATGATTTAATGTTGTGCACACACCTGTTAAAGCATCTAACCAAAATAATTATGAGCCCGCACCGTTTGGAGTGGGTCATCTGACGTCGATGATCGGCTGAGTTGTTTGGCATGCTTCAGCTTACATGAAATTATAAAATTATGTGTTTCCTGATCAGAGAAATCAACACGCATAAATTATTGATGGGTTGTGCTGAGCTCCATCCCACCCCACCTCTACCCAATGTGTGTTTCTAATCGGGTCTGGAATGTTTCATTTTGACT